TGACCCATGATGGCCTAGGGTGACCAATCAAGACTGGTTGATCATCAAAGTGAAACCATCATGTTTAGTGATTTTAAATGATTTAAAATCATATTAAATCATTTAAAATCATATTAAATCATTTAAAATCATTTAAAATCATTTAAAATCATATTAAATCAATTAAAATCATATTAAATCATTTACAATCATATTAAATCAATTAAAATCATTTAAAATCATATTAAATCATTTAAAATCATTTACAATCATATTAAATCATTTAAAATCATTTACAATCATATTAAATCAATAAAAATCATTTAAAATCATATTAAATCATATTAAATCATTTCAATTCACTTTCATGCAGGGTCTACTCAATGCAGTGACAGCAGTATTCCCAAACTGCCATCATAGGTACTGTTTGAGGCACATCTATGCAAACTTCCAGAGAGCAGGATTTGGAGGAGAGGATTTGAAGAGATGCATGGATGCAGCTGCCTATGCTTACACTAAACATGACTTTAATTTGGCTATGGAAAGCATGAAGGCTGAGTGCACTGCTGCTTGGGAGTGGATGTCAAGAATTCCTCCTAAAGCTTGGTCTAGGCATGCAATGGACACTAATTGCAAAACTGATTTGGTGGTGAATAACTTGAGTGAAGTTTTTAATAAGTACATTCTAGATGTAAGGAACAAGCCAATTGTCACAATGATCAATGGGATCAAGGACAAGTTTCTAGTGAGGTTCCACCAGAAGAGAGAGGGTGGAAAATGTGCTAGATGGGAGATTGCACCAACCTATGCAGAGAGGTTGGAGATGAACAAGAAGTATGCAAGGGATTGCAAAGCACTGATAGCTGGCCAAGGACTTTTCCAAGTCACTAGTGGAGACAAGACCTATGGTGTTGACACAAACCTACAGACATGTGGGTGCAAGAAATGGGACATCACTGGAGTTCCTTGCAACCATGCTTGTTCTGCCATCTATAGGTCTAAACAGCTGTCAGAGGATCATATCAATGTGTTTTTCAAGAAATCTATGTACTTGGAGGCATATAAGCCAGTAATTTACCCTGTTCCTGGTCCAAATAGCTGGGTGAAAACTCCAACACCTGACATTGAACCACCACAATTCAAAGATGACAAGAAGGGGCCAGTAGAAGAAAAAGGAAAAAAGGAAAGTTTGAGCCACCTCAAGCAAAGCAGACATCTAGGATGGCTACTATAACATGTGGGAACTGCAAGCTGCAAGGACACAAGTACACAAGTTGTCCAAAGCCATTGAGGCCTGATCTGCAAATCAGGAGGAACAAGCACATGGTATTTTCATTTTGAAATTAGTTGAGTGTTCATTTCTATTGACTGATCATTATAAAGTTGTTTAATTTTTTAATTACAAGAAAACAGGACTGTACCTGAATGGCACCATGGTGCAGCTTCATCAGCTACTGGAAGTGCTAGGGGTGCACCATCATCATCTACTACAAACTCCTCTCCTGCTGCTGCAAGAGGTGCAAAGACTACTAGTGCTGCAGGAAGGGGTGCATCCTCATCTCCTACTGCTGGAAGGGGTGCTAGTTCATCTGCTGCTGCTGGAAGAGCAGCAAAGTCTGCTACTACTCCTGGAAGAGGTGCTAGTTCTTCTCCTACTGCTGGGAGAGGTGTAAGATCTTCCACTGCTGCTGGAAGGGGTGCAAAAAGGTTCAAGCCTCCAAGAAGTTCTGCAGAAGCTTCTACTAGCCAGCCTGCAGGCAGTAGGCCAAAGAGGACAAAGTACATGAGCAAGAGGATGGAGGGGTACTTTTATGCCAGTGGGAACTATTAAATGCTCAAATTTGAAGTCTGTATGCAAGTGCATGTGTGCTAAATCAGGCATTACATCACTTTATTTATGACATTATGAACCTATGTATGGCACTCAGAACCTAAGTTTGTTAAACCTATGTATGGCACTTTGAAGTTATCTATGTTTATCTCCTGCTGTTCAAATTCTGTGCAAACATTTAGAATATATGTTCTGTGCAAAAATTATGGCAAAACAACCACAAACATTTAGAATATATATTCTATGCAAATATTATGGCAAAACAACCACAAACATTTAGAATATATGTTTTGTGCAAATATTATGGCAAAACAACCACAAACATTTAGAATATATGTTTTGTGCAAATATTATGGCAAAACAACTACAAACATTTCATTTCATACAAACAAAATACATTAATAAGTAGGACATTGATCCAAAGATGCATTGATCCAAAGATACATTGATAATAAGTAGGACATTAATTAGTTCTTGGGAGTACACAACGCAAGTCTTCGGAGTACACAACACAAGTCTTCGGAGTACACAACACAAGTCTTGGACATAAAGATACATAAAGTATTACAGCTTTGGAAGTGCATAAGAGCACATTCATATCAACTGCAGTGCTACCCTAAACCACACCACAATACATACTTAAAAATCATCACATATGTCCTTCAACTTCTTGATCTTGTCCTTGTACCCATGTTTCTGTTTGAGCAGATCTGCAATCATGTACTCCAGTTTTTTCTTCTCTTGTTTCAGTTGGTCCCTCTCTGTCACAACTTGGTCTCTCTCTACCACTAGCTGGTCCCTCTCTTTCTCTGCCTTTGCCCTAAGTACCTGATGAAGATTGGTACAACCATGGTTTGCCAGCTTCTTCTTCTCCATCTCCTCTTTGAGATCACTTAGAGCCAACCTAGCATTGCCCAACTCTGTGATAGCATCCTCCTTGTCAGCAACCATGTTAGCAAAGTCCAGTTTGAAAAACCTCAGATCTTCCTCCATCTTCCTCTTTTCTCCAACTAGTTTGAAATTTCTTTCACCAAGCTCAACATTTTGTTTCAGCCTGTCATCGATTTCTTTGTTATACATGTTCCACAATTCAGTGAGGGTGAACTGCATAACCACTGACCACTCTGGGTCTATCCAGTCGAGATAGTTGCACTTTAGTTCTGCCTACAATTAAATAAATATGTTCTCAATAAGAAATTATATGAAATGTGCACAAATTATATAATACTGTATGAAATTGTAGTTTAGTTCTTTACACCCAAATGTGCACAATCTGTAGTTTTTGTTCTATCCACTGAAATTTAGTTTAATTATATCCACTGAATTTTAGTTTAGTTCTATCCACTGAATTATATTATATGGATCAATTGGTGCCTAAATCAAATATTACATCATTAATTAATAGATATATTCTCAAAATTGTATGCACGAATTCTGGGCAGAAACAATTATAACAGCATATATAATTTTTTCCCATCTATAAGATTGTATATGCATAGATTATATGCATACATTATGGGCAACAACTATTACATCTTCATGGGCTACATTATATCCATCTATAAGATTGTATATGCATAGATTATATAGATTATGGGCACAAACAACTATTACATCAACTGAAGCAACATCTATCCAGGAACAAATCTTTGGTACACAAATTGGAGTACTGACAAGTGAATGAGCATAAACTAACTAAGCTAATCTACTTACACTACTAACCAACATACCTTCTCCTGAGCACACGCAAGAAAACGTCTGCCTGTGTCCACAGATTCAAATGCAACAAGCCTGACGCACGGTTCTTGATGGAGACAACGAGACGACAGATCGTGAGCAATGCCACTCCATTCATAGCAAGAGATAGTCCTAGGAAGCTAACCAGCACACAAATTGCACAAATCAGCGACCTGGTTAAAAATCCCCAAATGATGAACCCTAACCCTAGCGGGATGAACCCTAATCCGTGGGGGAGGCGAGAGGCGAACACGCATACCTGGCTAGTGACTTCTTCGTCGTCCGAAGAAAAGCTCGAGGACTGGTCGCTCCAAGAAACCATGGCGGATCGGCGAAAGGCGGCGAGTCGACAGTGGCGGCGCCGGCGGTGGTCGGGGTCGAGAGAGAGGAGAGCGAGAGTGATGAACTGGCTGGTCTGGTTCGAACACCGACCGGTGCGGGCCACTTAGACGGGCGCGCCGAAACGGCCGTCCCTCGCCGTCTAACGGCGTCCGTCAACATGCGCCACGTCAGCCCGATAGGCGGGACCCACCTGTCGGATTCGCTGTTTTCTGGGCTGAAACGCAGCGTCAGTGCTCCGCGTTACAGATTAGCCCCATTATTGGTGGTTTTTTGTGAACTGACTCAAATGTGGTACCGATCTGTTACCCTAACCCATAATGTGATGGTTTTGAGTAAATTACTCCACATTGTTTGGACGCCTTTTGCACATCAAGTTTAGTACTAGATGGGACGAGATCCAAGCGGCAAACGGAACTGTGGCCTGACGCAGAAGCGGAGATAGAAAGAGAGAGCGTCCTGAGCAGCGCGATCGAGACACTAACAATGGATCAAGGTACGCATGCAAGAACTTATAGAGCTACATATTTGGCTGGTCTGCGTCCATATGTGCACTATATATACTTGCACTTGCAGGATATGTTGTCAGTAGCATAGCAAGATAGTGTCAAAATTCAAGGCATCGATCCATCTCTCACATAATTTGACATGTCGATTGACAAAATTCATTCCATAACATAGCTTGAATGGTTTTGTTTACTACTCCGCCTAGACGTTTTTTTTTGTGGTTAATTTCGTATTCAGTTTTAAAAGTCATTATGAGGGTCAGAATCGCTAAACACCGATTGCCGTAAATCAAGCACAACTAATTGCATGGCTAATACTTATGTTTGCAGGCCAGGGTGTCGCCGTCACCGAGTCCCTGGTGACAGAGATGGCCCAGAGGCTAAGAACTCCGGCGCCGGAGGTGGACGCTTCCGTCGTCTGCGTCATCTCCTGGGCAGGCAGCGACGGCTTCGACCGCCGGGACTACGAACCGGCCAACGTGCGCATCGGCCCGTTCCACCGGGATCCTTCACACCCGACGGAGAACGAGAAGAAGGACGCGCTCCACCGATTGCTCCCGCACGACGACGAGCGGCGTGCAGAGGATCTCAACCATTACCTGCACCAGATGGCTCGCGTCGTGCCCCGCGCAAGGGGGTGCTACAGCCGATGGTTCAGCACGATCGACACGGAGGAGTTCAAGTGCATGCTGCTGGTGGACGGATGCTTCCTGCACTCGCGCTTCGTCCCCAGCAGAGCAGCACCAGCGCCCGTCAACGACGACATCACGGTCGACCGCGACATCGTCTTCCTCCTCGAGAACCAGCTGCCCTTCTTCGTCCTGGTGGAGGTCCAGAAGCTAATCAGGGCTGATGCCGAGGATAGCTATTCCGTTGTCGTCGACAACGTCCTAGGGCGCATCCAAGCGCTGGTCCGGCTTAACGAGTACAGCGCCGTCACGGTGCCCCGCCCCACCACTCCTCCTTGCCACCTTCTTCACCTGCTCTACATGTACTTCCGGCCTACAGCCCTGCCCCTGAACGACGCCCCGGCTCCGGCTATTCCTCGGACGAGGAGTGCCGTTGCTGCTGCGCCTCCACCTTCGTCGCAGCCGGCTCCGATCCCGCTGCTTCCTCTCGGCAACAACCGGGGCGCCGCTGCAAATGGAAACGGCGCAGCCAATGAGGCCATCCCCCCACCACCACCTGGGGCCCCCGTGCGCCAGACGCGTTGGCGCGCGGCGACGTACTACCACACAGCCGGCGTGAGGTTCATGGCGCGGAAGGTTGGCAGCGGCGACGGCGAGGCGCGATCCATCCTGGACGTGGGGCGGAGAGGAGACTGGCTCCACATCCCTGTTCTGGCGATCGACAACAACACGTTCCGGATGCTGCGCAACATGGTGGCACTGGAGCAGAACAGCCCGCAGCTTCGCAGCTCCCACGTCACGGCCTACTGCCTCTTCATGTCGCAGCTGGCCAGCACCAAGGAAGACGTGGAGCTCCTCGTCGCCAAAGGGGTCATCGTGCACCTGCTCCACAGCGCCGACGATGTCGCGGCGAACCTGGCCGGGCTCTGCGACGGCGTTGTCCTCGACGCGTACGACCGGCACTTGTGCTACCTCAGGGCGGAGCATGCGGCGCTCGAGGAGGTCTGCCGGGACGGCTGGAAGAAGTCCAAGGCGTGGCTGCGGCACACCAAGTGCAACAACTATTTGATGGGGCTGGCCGTCCTCGCCGGTGCCGGCCTCTTCTTTTGCACGGTCGAGCAATCGGTCTTTGCTGCGCTAAGCTATTTTCAAGAGAAAAAATAATACTGTAGTATTGCATACTCCTCTCCATCCTGATTTACAAGTGGGGTATACATTCTTCGGTTTTGCTAAAACTCAGCTAGTTTGGCATCATTCACGCCATCAGCCGTTGGATCAAACACATCAGAATTCGTGCAGGTTGTCGCGTTGCGCGTCGCTGCGTTCCACAGTCTGCCTGTTTGTCGTGTTGTTGGAAGGCTTCAGTCAGCCACTGATGGGCCGTTTTATTAATTTGTACTGTCAGCAGGCCCAATACTACACTAGATGCGTCCTCTCCTTTTTTGTGTGTGTTTTGTTTTTGTTTTTCTTATTTCAGTTTTCTATTTGTACGAGCGGCACAACACACACGTGTGCGAGCCCATTTTTTGGTTTTGTTGACCGAGAATCTGTTATCGCTCCAATTAAGTCTCTAACTGTTGGATCCCAGATACAGCAATTCATTCAGAAGGCTGACAGTGCTTTTTGATTGTGTACGAGCGACCCACACAGAGGGTCCACGGGGTCGGGGCGACGCTTGGGATGCCTTTTATTTTCCTTTTATATTTTTGGTTCTTCATTCCTGATTTTTGATTATTTTTCTATTGTTCTTCTTTTTTGTTATCTTTTTTTATTATTTTTTAAAAAAAATTCATGTGACAGGGTGAGATTTAACTATGCCTCGTTCATGCCATCAGCCTTCGGATCAAATTGTTTAGCGGACATTCCACGCAGCCCATCTCGACCTATTTTTTGTTTTCCTCTTTTTTGATTGTCCCTTAATGTTAAAAGGGATAGAGGGGTTTGGTGGAATAGTTCATTGTATTACTTGAGCCTCGTGGGCATATATATAGGAGTACATGATTTACTTGAAGTATAAGGCAAGCCAGAATATTTTTTAGTCTAACCTATGTTTCCTAATACAATCACGTTACTCAACATCCCCCGCAGTCACAATGATAGCGACGCAGACGGTGAG